CCTGATTCATGAACTCTTCCTTAATCTACTAAGTAGAGGTTGATCTCTCTCTTCTTCAAGGTCTACTAACATTTTGTGTGATTGAGTTCATTTGTTTGTTGATCACATTCTTACGTACTTACAATGTGAATTAATTACACATTAATTCCTCTAAGTTTATACTTATTGGGCAGTTTTATTATAGGCAAATACAGTAAAATTATTCACTAAATTCTTTAAAATTCACTAAAGTTTATTTGTAACCCCAAAGTCAATACTTAGCACTTTTCATAGTCATTACAGACATGAGCAAAACAGCAAAAAAATTTTAACTTATGAGCACTTTTCTAGTTGAGGTTGAACAAGGTACTATGCTTCTTTCCTGTGTTAGCTCTCATGTAGAGATGAACAAAGGATGCAGATAGTAGGAGTGCAGTGACCTGCATGCTTTAGGACCAGTGGGAGGGGGTTTGAATGTCAACTCTGGCCACTCTTAATGGTCTGGCCTCAGAGCAGTCACTTTAACACTTTGAACCATATTTTCTCTTTTGTAAAAGAAAGAAAATGGAAGCTACTAGGATGAATTGTTTTTGGGATTCAGATTATAAATATTTGAACTATGTATCTATATGCATATATAGAATACATATGTGTATGCAAACATATATACACATATATGTATGTATTTTCTTAGGAGCTATGGATCCATATTCCTTAATTTAGTGTTTTGCCACAAAAGGTAAAAAAACCACAGTCAATTGTATAGCACTGGCCAAGCATGGAGCATGGTAAGCATGTAGTCCATTCAAATAAGATGAGATTTATCCATGTCTACACTATATAAAGGATTTTCACATAGGTTTTTATAATGGATATAGATATATTTAAAACAACAGCAAAACCAACACAAAATCCTTGTTCTTGAATACGAAATTCAGTAGGGGAGAGTTGTTTTCAATAATAACACAAATGAATACAAACAATAGGAACAAATAGAGAATAAAAGGATAAAACTAAAAAAGAGACACTTAAAAGGCTATGTAAAGTTAGAAGTCAGAGATTTCTTGCTGGGTTCTCCCCTTTCATTGGATCATTGTTGAACACATGTCATGCTCCATCCTGCATCAGAGTCATTTTTTGTGTGTGACTTACTCCACTATAATACTGCACTTATCTTTAGATTATCATAACAGTTAGTACAATAGCTTATACATTGTAAATACTAGTAATTGTTTGTTGAGGAAAATGAGAATGGATTAATATGGCCACCCACTGTGATTATCTAATATTCTAGACTGCTCTCTCTACTCTCTCTATTATTTTTGCTTTGATTTGGTTCCTCAGGATCAAACTAGTTGATGAAACAACTATTTTGATGAATTCATACAATGAGGCAATATATTACCATTTCTAATGCATTTTTAAATATTATTTATTTTTAAATTTTATTCCTGTTGGTGAGATTAACATGCTTTAACCCAAAAGGAAGAGTAATAGAGGAATTTATTTTTTTATTATTTTTTAAAGATTTATTTATTTATGCACTCAAGAGCTGGGTACAGGCCAGAGGTGTGGGGATGAGAGGATTCACCAGAGGCAGAATGGAGAACAGAACAGGCAGATCGACTGAAACACTGCTAAGGGGAACAGCGGGCGAGTCAGGAGAGGTCTGCTGCGCCATGCAGTAGCTCCCTGGCTGGGGATTGAAGTCATGCTGCAGAAGCTGTGAATAGCTTCATAGGAGGCCCTAATGGAGGAATTTGTAAGGTAGTATTTCTACTAACCTAACTGCAAGTCAGAGGAAACTAATCTTGTGTGGATTAACAGGTTAATGTACTTGCCTAGTATGCTGAGCAAGGCTTTCCTGACCTCATTGTTTTAATATGTTTATTATAAAATATCTCAAACATACAGAAAATACTGAGAATTCTATTAACAAGGGGGAGGGAGTTTGTATTTGTGTATGTGTCTGTATGTCTATGAGTATATTATCTAATAGTGTCAAATCTTAGAATTTGTAAAATTTGCTGCAGTTAATTAATTGCTGGTCTTTTAAGGACTTGCTACATTTTTCCATCTTAATGTTAATTAACTAATTAATAGTGTCAATTAATTAATTGCTAGAACTAATTTGATAGCCTTCTTTCCTTACCCAGGGATGATATTCTATTACTACATACTTATTCATCTGTAGTAATATATAGTATTACTTTATATATTTAAATTTTATTTAACTAGTATTTTACTATACCTAATCTGCAACTTGCTTTGTTCAGAAATCTAGGTTGATTTACTTGGGTTTAGAACCTTTATTTTCACTGAAGAGTAAAATTCCAACCTGTAAACGTATCATAATTCATTTGTCAATATCTGTTAATCATCATAGGACATCATATAGTTAGGAGTGTTTTGCTATGTATTACTATTTTAACATAATCTCTTGAAAATGTATGTGAATAACCTGTCATTGCATTCAACGTACAGTAAAAAAGTTAAAAACAACAACAAAATAATATCTAAACCTCCAATAATATCAGGATATACCATTTAAATCTTTTGCTTCTATAAAATTGAGTATTTACCTAGAATCTATCTTCTGAAGGAACATAAAATACTTACAATTCAATTTTAAATGTACTAGGATCAATTTTTTAAAAAAGTGTTAATTGTGAATTGAGAGACTGTATCATGTGCAATTATCAAGAGGACAGCCTTTAAATCAGATGCCAATGGGTTCTTGGGTCTAGTATTGATTAGCTGAGAGACCTTGGCCAAGGTATTTAACCTCTTTAAGTCTCAGTTCCTCATGAACAAAAAAAAAAATCTAACTGTTGAACTCATTTTATACGATTGTTGTAAAAGAGATGTAAATGCTTAAAAGGTAAGGGTTTGGCTCAATGAATAGGAAAAAAATGAATAAGAAAGCACCAATGAAAAAAATCTACCAAAAAGTTGAGTGTGTATACTCAAATTTTTATATATATATATATATATATATATATGCATACATATATGCACACATGTGTGTGTATAATTGCATGAAATTTCAATAACTTTAACATAAAATATTTTACTTTGTACTTGGATTGCATCTTCTTCTTCCTATTATTATTATTATTATTATTTTTATTATTATTAGAGTGAGTATTCTCAGAAGTCTTTAGGGTACTATCTATTGATTTCCAAACAGGTAAACCCATATAAAATGAGATATTTTTATAATCTCAAAAACTAAACATTATTAGAATTGAAATTTTACCATGACATGCAGTGATCCACCATAATTAAAGTAGCATATTAGTGTGAAACAGGAACCCTTGTAATTTTTAACACAGTTAAGAATTTGTGAATACAAGTGGAGTGCTAATTTGTTAATAACCGAACAAGTACTTTTTATTATTAATGTGATACCAAGTATGTACAGAAGAACTTTTGGAAATTGCTGTATCAAAATAATTATTTTTAACATCTAAAGGGAACTAAGAAAGTCTCAATCATGCTGTGGCCACCGTGGTCCAGCCAAGAATAAGCATAATAAACTCTTGACAGAAATGTGTTTGTGTAGTTGAATCTTCAATATGTTGGAGTTTGGGGACAGGAATAAGAGGGTCTAAGCCTGTCTTTTGTATGTTAATGTGCTTTCACAGTAGAGGTATGAGAATTAACTCAACTGAAGTATTCTTGAAGAAAGACATTTATCTCCTATTGCCTTCTGTGATGGATTGCTCAGATTTAAAGGAACACCAGGCCTGAACCAAATCTCCTGCTGCCCTACATAGTTTTTACAATCTTCTATTCAATAACACAGTCAGAGCAGCCTCACTTCCAGACCAGCACTTATTCAGGAATCTCCCATAATATGACAGGATAGAACCATCTGTAATACAAATCAACACTATTATTTTCAAAGTAAGCACTTTAAAAGGTTGCTTGAACAAGGAAAGACAAACTTGCCTAGTTGTATGCTATTTTGCAGTTAACATAGGATTATACTGTGAATTGCACTGCACTGAATATTAAATTTTATTCTGATGCATTTTAAGTTGAACTGGGTAAACAGTGCTAGATGTTTGATTAATGTTAATATGCAAGATGCCATGATTAGGTATGATTGTTCTTTTAAACTGCCTTCCTCTTTTTTTTTTTTACTCTGATCTTAACAGATAGTGAGAACAGAATTTGTAATTGAAGAATATATTGACATTGACTCAGAAATTAATTTTCACATTGCAAATTTACAGATATTTAAAATAATGCAGCTAGACGGTAAAGGCAACTTTTGTCTGCAAAATGATGCCAAATACTGCCTCCTTTTAAAATTGTGTATCAAGTTATTTTGTCTTTTAAATTCTTGAACCTTAATTTAAGGTGAATAACCTCTATAGTCTATGATTTTACACAAGCTTTTGAAAAACAGCAAGGAAGCTAACCTTAGAAGGCAGTTACACTTAATCATGATCATCGTAGAACTAGTGCTAATTTTCTTGTTCTAACATTAGCTATTATTTTTTTCTTACATATATATAGCATGGAATTGGGGACCAGGTTTTTGTTTGCTTGTTTTTAAAAAATATATATAATCATTCATATAGAGTGCATGTTCCATTAATCTCCTATCAATATTTTTTAAAAAGGCCTTCTGCTATTGAATTCTAACTATGAATATATTTGGTGATTAATTCTGTGGTCCCTTGAAGTGATTAAAGAAGTCTATCAATAGAGGAGAAATTTTACACATAACCAGTATTTAAAAACACAATGACATGCTCCTGTAAATGTGTATTTTGACAAGGCCTGCTTCCACTAAAATGCGTATAAAGTCAGCAGGAAAGTTTTTCAATAATCTAATAATCAGTTATTTCACTTGTCACCTCACATCAAACCATAATTTTCCTACGCCAGTATATAACTTATCAGACTGTAGCCACTATTAATGTATTTCTGTAGCTTGTAAAACATCTAGTTATCACTTTGTCCATTTTAACTTATTCCTATTAATGATTTATTTTCATTTCCTCTAGGCTATAGACCTGCAGCTAACTGGATTTGATTCATAAGAGAGAAATCTACAGTCAATGGCCACTCTCACCACGTTCCTGCTATGGAAAACAGAATGGTCAATAGGATATGATCTGATAAATAATGATGATTGAAGATACTACTTCAATACATGTGAAATCAATGGGAGTTACTGGCTGCATGAAGAACTTTCTCAGCTTTTCTCTACAAGTTCATCTTTAAGAAATCGGAGGCATATTCTACCATTTTACATTCTTAAGTGGATACAAATACTTTTGCCTCATTGTAAACAGACAACTAGACAACTAATGTGGGACCATGGCACTGCCCAGATGCATGTGGCCAAGTTATGTTTGGAGAGCAGTGATGGCATGCTTGGTACATGGGGGACTGGGTGCCTCCTTGACTCTCTGTGTATTGGGATGTTTGCTTCAAGCTGCCCATGTGCTCTCACAAAAATTGGATGATGCAGACCCATTGGTGATGACCAACTTTGGCAAGATAAGAGGGATTAAGAAGGAACTGAATAATGAAATTTTGGGACCTGTTATTCAATTTCTTGGGGTTCCATATGCAGCCCCACCAACAGGGGAACATCGTTTTCAGCCTCCAGAACCACCATCTCCCTGGTCAGATATTAGAAATGCCACGCAGTTTGCTCCGGTGTGTCCCCAGAATATCATTGATGGCAGATTGCCAGAAGTCATGCTTCCTGTGTGGTTTACTAACAACTTGGATGTGGTTTCATCATATGTACAAGACCAGAGTGAAGACTGCCTGTATTTAAACATATATGTCCCAACTGAGGATGGTGAGTTTACTGCAGGAGAAACAGGGAGATATATTTTTCTATTCTGTTCTAACAATATTAATTCATGTATACTGGTAGCATGCATGGCTTTTCCTGTTGGCATGTAGACATATTTTACATGCGTGCATGACTCTTCTTTTGTTAATGTGTGTTGGTGTATCTGCTCTTATTTTTTCCTGTGCCTACTCATTTTCTTTCCTCCACAGCACGTATACTTAGGTAGAAATGGGTTCTTAATTTCCATTTCCTACCGAATGACTTCTGAGAAGATGCATCAACATTTCTCCATTGCATGTGCAGACTCAAGGAATTGGGGACCTTTCGCACTCAGTAAATGCAGGAGCATATTAAGTTAGATAGTGGTGTTGCATGTTCCGGCGGTCTGTGATGGAGCGCCATGTTATTTTCTAGTCTTCTATTCATTTTTCAGTAAAAAGAATATCCAAGGAATGTGCCAGAAAACCCGGCAAGAAAATATGTAGAAAAGGAGGTATGTATAAAAGTGGAAATAAAAAATGGGGGAAAAACTTGCAGAGGAAGAACAAGATAATCTCCCTAAGGATGATTTGCTGTTGCTGGGAAGTTGAATGGTTAGGTGATTTTTGGAATTTAACGAAGCTGGTCAAGGAATAGAAAGATGGTTAAGGAGTGCTTTAACTGAGTAGATAACATTGACAAAGCTCATTGGTGTTGTCTTATTTTCTGGTGCTGGTAGCATTTACAAGAGTTGAATCTGTGCTTTTGTGTTTGTGTTGAGAGGAAAATATACTTAGACTGTTGTGTTGCCTGTGAGAAACCCAAATGATGCTGCCTTATCATTACTCAACTATTATTTCCAAATTTTTTTTTCTGCAGATGGAGATTTCTGCTCCTTTTAAAACTGATCAGTATAGTCACAAACCTAGTTTTTTTAACTTCTTCTGAATACTTTATGAACTTTTTATCCTAAGGATAAACTTGCCATACCTATTGGGTAAATAACATTATTAAGTGATGGTATGTTTCCCAATCATTTCATTTTCAGTTATTTTTCCGGAAGAGAATGAGATTTTGCAGATTTTTATGCTAAATATTTACAGTCTTAAAAGTGCTTTAACAGTTTTATATTTATGTTAAACAATTTAAAACATAGAGAAGAACATGATTCAGAAGCTACAATTAAATCAACCTTCAAATCATCCTCTAACCAGATTGAGCAAATGTAGACACTGACAGCTGTGAGCTTGCATCTGAATGTAGCTTGTCCACACTCCATTTTATGTAACATCCAGTAAATCACTCATAGGAGAGTGTGATTTTCTATGGCAGTAAATCATCTAAGTGTTATTTTGACCTTTTTCAAAACTTTGTAGAATTTCCAATCTTCATACAGAAGTCATTAATATTCTAGCACTACACATTCTGTCTCTCTATGCACTTCTTAGTCTCCTGACCGGACCATGTCAGATTCCGTTTTATTTAAGCATTTTTTATTTAAGCATAAGTTTTTTTAAGCATTTTTTACATCGTTGTGGGGTGGGAGTATATAAACTATTCTGTTTTACTAGGGTTACAGTATATAGACAAGGCACTTTATAACAAAATTCTGAACTGCAGATAAGAAGTGTTTGCATTAAATTGAGTGTTGTTATATTTTTGTTTTTATTTCTTTTGTCATCTTGGTAGAATGGGATATAACCTTTATTTTTTTATTGATGTTATGATTTGGTTTAAAAACATAAGTAAGAAGGTCAATGTGGAGGTAACAAGAGTGGTTGAAGTAACTAAGTAGTCTCTTGTTGTTTTTCTCCAAATGAGAATAACTGCAGTAATTTACATGCCTTCAACTAATGTACAATACTGCAGTGGTTATTATTATGCAGCTTATCAAGCATGTGTAATTAGCTAAGTGACTTTCACCTCCTTTAACAAAGATGTTGATTCACAAAGTCATAAATAAACATGCTATTGAAGAATGCATAAATATAATACATAAAAATATGTACAATCAAAGAAATGAGAAGGACACCAAAAGTTACGCTCGTAGAGAAAGTGACCTTTCTTCTCATATAACTTCAGAGGGAAATGGACATATTACAAATTTATTTTTCATTGTTCTTTGGATTGTTGGTTCCGTCTGCTTTATGAGAGTGTTGGCATAGAGTTATGTAGGTTGTGCTATTTACTTTGGCAAACTTTGCTCCAATTTATAGTTAGCCCGAGGACAACATCTATAGATATCTACTTCAGTCTTTTTAATTTACAGTCCAAATCTACTGTGTTTTAACATTAAGCATTTTAAAAAATTATCTTATTTTGGTATTTAATATACCCTATGACTATTAAATACATTCTGTTCATTTAATTGTTATTTGCTTAGTTCCCAAAGTCTAAACATTAAAGAATTTATATATAAAGAATTTATATATATAAATTTACATTTATATATATATAAAATATATAATTTAAATATAATTTTGTGTAAATTGTTTTTAAACATAAACAAAACTGAAGTTTAGGCCATGACTTTTAAGCATAGCAATAGATTTTGTTTTTCAAAGTTTTTTTTTTTCCTTCTATCATCAAGAGTTTATTCTGGTCATTTCAAGAAATCATATTATCCTGATTCTAGAAAATATTAGCAATTTCTCATCCATGCATATGCCAATATATATTACATATGGACTAGGGTCTTCATTGGAATTCCAGAAATTTATGTGGATAAATGATGTTTCAGAAAGTACAGGATTGTGTTGCATTTTATCTAGATGTTAATTCTGCATTGTTAGTATTTAACTTTTTTTCTCTTTTTCTTGGCATCTCTAGGCCAAATATAATGTGCACACTATATTACTTCAAAACTACTTCCTAATTGCCTATTATAAGTCTTGCCCTCTTCAAGGGGCTCAGTAATGAATGAAATAAAGAATTCTCTTTACATCGAGCTTACATTCAAATAAGTTTACAAAGAACAGAGCATTTTCTGCACATTAGTCTATATAAAAGGAAGAAAATATTCTCCTGCAAAAGCTACCTCCCCATAATTTTTAAATAAAACATTTATAAAATCTTTCTGTGCTATTGAGAGAAGCATTTTTTTATCAATTGGCTGTCTCTCATTTAAAATAGTTCCCAGTTGCATTTTTTAATCTATCTTTTGATATTTCCCATGGTAGTTTTAGCTGTATGTTAATTACTCTCTAGATAGTTCTTTAGGGTTTTATCCTTGCAAAATTGAAAGAGCGAAAGCTTAAAATGAGATGACTGTCAACACTTGACCAAATAAGCAGATAAAATGTGATAGAAACTAGAATTTTGATGTGGAGAATAGACATAATTCATCACAAAAACTTTTGGAAAATAGTGTGTTGCTATTCTTGGTGCTGAGAGTTAAATATTCTGACCCAGTTTCTGCAACTAGTAAGTGAGAGTCAGATTTCACCTTAGTTCTTGCTTATATTAGACACTTTTCCATGTTATGAAATTATCTCTAGTAGATGATTTCTGTAGCATAGCCTGTAATCTCCCTACTGTCTTTCCTGCATTTCTGCTTTCTTTATTTTGGGTATTCAAATATATTGTGATTTCTTTATTTTTTTGTATCAGTTGACTATCTTCTAGAGAGATTTAATGTTCACCTTAATTGAATTGGTTTAAGTTGATATTTGCAACTAAATTTTTGTGAAATATGCTTAGTACATATTCCAATTAATACTTTTAAATAATACACATGTTTTCATATTGTCCAGACCAAGATCCCAACATATTCCTCCCTGATTGAATCAGGTCTGTCTTTAATTTTCTTAAAGTTTCCTTTGTTTGTCTAGGTTACTCTCTTGTGAGATACACCAACAAAGAGTAGATCAAATATTAGGTCAAATATTAAGCAATAAACATGAGAAGGAAAAACAGGGGCTCAGAGAATCCACAAAAAAATTCACTGCTTCATGGATACGCTAGAGTTGTTTTGCTTTGTATTTTTTCCAGCATGTTAACTATTATTTGCATAGCTCTTCTGAGATGAATACAGAATTAATTTTTCATTTCTGTGTTGGTGAAAAATTGTTAACTTGGTATTTCATTTGCCCCAATTTTTATTGTACAGAAAATTAGAATCTTTATAGATGACTCTGATACAATTCTTAATTCTCCTTGAACATTTTGTTCCTTATTGTATATACTCTGTTTAAATGTCCTCACCTGAGATACTGTTGAATTCATTCCAGAATCTTTCCCACATATTTATGTTTTATTTGGTGTTTTGTTTAAGATAGAGACTGATTTTCCCCCTCATTAAATATGTATAGCAACAACTCGTATCACTGTCAACATGTTTAAGATTTTATTTATTTATTTATTTTAAAAGACTTATTTATTTATTTATACAAGCATTGGGTACAGTCAGAAGCACAGGAGAGTGAGAGAATTCACCAGAGCCAGAGCGGGGAGCAGAACAGGCAGAAGGACCAAAATACACTGCTGAGGGTGGCAGGAGAGGTCTGCATGCCATGTGGGACCCTCGCCCTGTGGCCAGGGGTCAAACGGGTGCTGCAGAGCAGCTTGGCAACCCAGCGCTCAACTGCTGCGCCACCAGGGAGGCCCATGTTTAAGATTTTAAAACAGGATTATATTGCATAATGCTTTTCTTTCTGCATTTCTAGCTGTTTATTCATCTAAAAATATTTTTTGAGTCCTTACTCTATGCTCATTACTGTTCTAGTCCCTCAAGAAACATCAGTAAAAAACAAAATATCCTTGTCTTCCTGGAGATTACAACCTAGTGTATAGAGGTAAATTGTAGACAATAAACACAAAAATAGCTAAATTTAAACATAGCTAAAAATAGATATATAAGAAATAAACAGAGTGTAAGGTTTCAAGAGTGCTGGTGTAGAAGGGAAAGGTTTTTTTTTGTTGTTGTTTGTTTGTTTTTTCAGTTTCTTATAAAAGAGACCAATGTTTATTTTCTTATAAAAGAGACAGAGCTTTACTTTGCTATTTGTGTTCCAAATCTTTTTTACATCTCACAAAATACAGTCTAATTCTAGGAAAATACACATTTTTAAACTGTTCAGGGAAAGTTATTTTAAATAAGATAGTGTAGTCCTCATTCAAAAAATGACCTGAAGGAGTAGAAGTAGATATCTTATCCGGGGAAAGAGCAAAATAAAGGCACAAAATGAAGTTGTAAATCTGTCTTGTGTATTAAAGAATATATCATAGTTGGAAAGGAGAGAAAGAGGCAACACTGAGATTCAAAATAATCTGCCTTGATAATAAAAAGATAATTCAAATGATATATTAAAAATAGGCTTTAGGAGAGTACAAAGTAACCTGGATAGTAAATAAGAGACTACTGGAGTTCTGACAAAGTCTGAGGATGTTCCAGGCTCAGGACAGGCTAGTAACAATAGAAGTGATATATTTTCAGTTTGAGATGACATTTCTAGATAAATTTGTTGTGAGGTATGAAAGAAAATGAGAGAACTGAGAAGACACTTAGATTTTTGG